GACACAGCAGCTGCAGATGCTCCTTTTCCCCAAATGAAACATGGCACAACAAGTTTTCAGCACTTGTTTTCCAGATACTGCTCTTACATAGAGAATGGGCTAAAGAACATAAAGTTATGCAAACTTCCTATCAGCATAATGCCAGGCATTTAGAAAACTGAATTGACCTAGTTTCTGATTTGTAGAATCAAGTAGTGACTTGCAGTTTAATATATGAAAAAAAAATCCTTAATTAAAAAATTGTGTAGGACACATACTCCTTCCTTTCAATCTCATACTTGTATCATGCTGTGCATGCTGCTAATTCAAAAGGCTGATATGATCACAGACAGCCCAGCTTCTAGGATTTACCATTCAAACACACTTGAACTGGCACGAAAAATGCAATAAAATAATTCTTTCAGACAAGTTTAGAGAGAGGTATTCCCAAAAGACAGAATTCTGGCTTCCAGCCACATAAAGCTTACACTTTGTCAATAACACAGTGAAGGAAGGCATGAATGAATTTTATTTCATTGGACAAGTGACTTGGAATACAGATAAGGCAGGGTGAGCATATAAACCTTTAAATAAATGTTTTAGCACTATCTGGAAGGGAGGAATGCAATTGATTCCAATCTTTTCTGACAGAAAATCAGTTCCTCTGAAGCTCTTGGGGCAACAAACACTAACTAAAAGGGTCTGTTACTAATAAAATCTTTAAGTACAACAAAACAAGATGTTGTCGTTTGAAATTAATAAGCCACAATTAATGCAAATTATTGCTCTGTAGTTTAATTGAAATATTAAACTCTGATATGAGGTCTTTGTTTTACTATGACTTTAAGAAACATGTAACTTTGAAGAGGGATTTTGAAAGAGTTCGAGGAAAACTCAGCAGAGCAATAGCTGATGAAACCCCCTGACAAAACACAGTGCAAACAGCAGCAGTAGGAATTCCAAACATTCTGTCATGCTCTGCTGGGGTTTCTCTCTAATGAGCACAACTGTGGTACCTGGAGCTGCTACAAAGAGTTAATAGAAAACACTGATTTCTGGTTGTGCCCCACATTCTCTGTTCTGTTTTGTGGCGGTTACCTCATACAAAGTTGTTTTGTGGAAAATCTTGACCTTTTCCTCCCTCTCTGCCTGTTTAAATGAACCTTGTTTTATTCTCTGCAGTGATACTACAAGCTGGATCAGTAAAAACTGCTGTTACAATTCTGGTTTTGCTTTGCAAAGACGTGTTATGCGTCAGAATGAAGGGGGGCATTTAGTGTTTTAGGAGAGCCGCATTTGGAATTTCTACAAGAGAAACCCTCTGCAAGTGGCAATTTCTTTTACATTATAAATCTAACTCAAACCAGTATATGGAGGTTCAGTTTTATTTGCAAAACCACAGGTTGATAAAATTTACAAATAACACTCAACATTATTCTCTTGGGGCCTGAGAATGACTGGTGTGGCTCAGAGAAGGGACTGTAATCAATCACAACCCGAATTTCAAATGAAATGGTGCCTCATTCCCACTGCCAATCCCATACCAGCTCATAGGAGCCACTATATTTTTAGTATTAAATGTTATTTTCCTTATCCTTTCCATAATGGAAGCAAAAATTGCAGAATAGAAAAAACGGTCTCGTGTTTGTACAAAGTACATTCGGTGGCTGCGTTAATGCTTTTAGCCTAAAATACGTAGTAGCAGTAGTACTACTACAGTAGTAATCTGTATTAGTTGGTAGAAAACACTTTTTACATTGAATTTGCTTTCAGGTTACTACTTACTGAAAGAGACCTTTTCAGATTAACACAGATAACACGGTTAATAGAATGGACAAAATCACACAACTCCAGGTACACATGCTTGCAATTGTTATTACCTAATAAAGAGCACTCAGGGTCTGTTTCTGTGCCTTCCCAGCCCATAAATCACAGAATTTCAGGATCCTAACTTCTGCCTTTTCATCTTAATTTTTATTTTTATTTTTATAAATAACTATTCAACCTTCAGACTTCAATGTGACAAGACTTTGGCCCCATACAAACTAAAAACACAAGCGGTGACCTCAAGATTTAGAAATAGAAAATTATATCTCTATTTTCATAATTCTACAGTGAGAGAGGCAATAGAATCTATTTCACTATCTTGTTACAGACATAAACCTCCCACACTCAGGGTAGCTATTTCTGAAGGGGCTGCCTTTCAGTTTTGCCAAAGAAAGCATTCAGCAACTGCATGGGAAAAAAAAAAATCAAGTGTTAAAGAATGGCCAACATTTTCCTTGCAGCTGATGGATGACTCTGTGTAGTAATCGATACTTCTGCACTGTTGAACCCAAAATAATTGCATAAAGTCTCCAGAGCTCAAAACTTTTCTCAGAAGCCTCTAAGAAATACATCCTAGAACTCTTAGCACCAGCAAAGGGTGGAATACAGGAACACAGCCCTTTGCACTCTCTTCTCTGAACTGCTTATTTCTGGCAACAGGCTCCATATGTATATGTTTTGAATAAATTTCTCGTTTTGAATGACACTAAAAAGTGTCTACATTCTGCAGTGAGGTGTCCTGATAGTTAAATCTATGAAAGAAACACTCTTGTACTTAGGAAACATTTTTAAACGTGCATTTTAACATTCCATCAACATGAACAGAATTTCCTGCCTTGTGACAAAGTGCTTCATATTTAAAGTCCTGAAAATGTTTCCAGATAATTTCTTTCGTGTTTTCTGTCTTTATGGAAATCTTTCAAAAGTTCTTCTTGATTTCAAATACATAGAGGTACCAAACTTTGCTAACTAATTTACATCCAGCTTTAATGACTGCAGATCCCATCAGTGGGCAGCAGGTGTTTTTGTTTTATACAAAAGCTGTTCAACTAACTACTGATTCTATAGGCAGTGCTGACACTGCAACTTTAAAAATGGCAACTTCTGAGGAATTGCTTAAATAATGAGAAGTTACTGATTGACATACCATGGAAAACTTTCAATGGAGTAATTTGACAAGTATTTCTATCTTCAGCTGAAGGCTACTTTTCTTTTGTTAAATATAATTTTCAAATACAGTTTTCCTTAGTGATGAAGAGTAGGCTAGTTGTGCCTCAGTAAAGAGCTGGCTGTGACAAATGACTGGATGAAGCAGTAATCTCAAAGATGACTTGAACAAAAAGTCAAATAAGAAAGATACCAACTATTGTAATTATAAACCCAAAAGTACCGTGTGACTTTGTCCATGTGCCAGAACATACAAGTCTTTTGAAGTTATAAAAATCCTTTTAAAGCACTTTTAAGCACTTAGGGGCTCTTTTAAAGAACTCCCTTCTTATTAGAAAAACAGGTAGCTTGGAGGTCCGGGTCAAGGGAGGTGTGTTTGGCAATTTAAATCAGTTCCTGTGTACTCTGAGGTTGTGTGTCCTGTCCTTAGAGCTGACCCAGTGGCAGATATGGCCTCACAGCTGGATGGCCCAGCACTAGCACCAGTTAGCAAAGGTTGCCCACAGCCACATTGCACAGAACTGGGCCTTTGTGCTCTCTAAGGTCCTTCCAGCCCTGAAACTTCCTTTTCCTTTTTGTTTTTGTTTCAAAACAGTGGTGTGTTCACAGTGTGGTACAGGGAGCACGCTCAGAATAGCATATGTGACATTTAAGAGTGAGCAACTACCTGGTATGGTAGCAAAGAACTGTCCTGGATGGAAGAACCAGGGTAGTGTTGGATACATCCTAATTTTCTGGGTAGAGCTTGTAACAAACTCCCCTTAAAAACAGGTTTATGTTTTCCTCTAGGACTAGCTGGGGCTCACTCCAGAAGGCAGTATGAAGTGAACCCATGTACTTTCAGTATGGAAAACTGTCCTACAGCAAAGCAGGGAGATGAGGAAGACTTTGCCTTCTGCTCCTCCACTGGAGGCATCTTCCTTAACTTGCTGTACCAGCTCTTTCATTTCACATCACTGCAGTACTTCCTCTGATTCCCTGTCCTCCTCCTGTTCTGATGACATCCTTTGCCAGCAAGGACGCTTGTGATACTGATTTTTCCAAATACAGCTAGTTGAAAATATTAAATGAATGCAAATCAAGCATTTGTGCATACACAGAGGGACGAATTTGGTTTTGATCAACTGAAGCTTTTTTCCAAATGTTGTCTCAAGACATTTCTGCTGTCTTTCTAAAATAATTAAAGCTTGTGTTGAGGGAGTTTTATTGTTGGGGGTTTTTTACTAGCTGTATCAAATAGTAAGGGAAAGCACCATAAAGATTTCAACATATCCAATTGTGCTTGCTTTCCTAAAAACTAAACCAAACCATTAAATTTCTTGTCAACAGGCAATGATTTTCGTGGATGACCCAGACTCACTGCACCTGTAAGTCTTTAAATAGCTGCACTTTCAGCTGCGACAGCTTCCAGGAGTAATTAATCCTGAACATGCTGTTTCACGAAAATGACTTGGTGATTTTAGAGCTGTGTTTTCCCTATAGTGAAAATGCCATGTTATTGCCATATCAAGCTAGCTGTCATTCCCAGCTGCCTTCGTGGAGCCAGTGGGATGCACAACTGCAAGGGAATCACTTTGCTTCCCTTGAAGCTGGGGAACAGCACTAAATCAATGGGCTCAGTGCTGCTAGAAAGAAGGATTCTGAGAACACCATCTGTTCCCAGGCAGATCAGGGGGATGATTTCAGTGTGTAATCCACACTGTCATCCCTCGAGTGTGTAAAGCACCAGGCTTGTGCCAGCTCCCACAGAGCACTGCCCCACACTGCTCCTGCTGCTTTCCCTCCCTGCTGAGCAGAGCAGGCTTGGGCTGAGCTCCCCCTCTGTAAGAGGGCAGTGGCACTCTGAATTCAGTCTTCAATGTAGTCCAACACAGGGAGCAAAGTCAAATCCATGAGTGGTTTCGCCATGGATACAAGCACACTGCATGTCTCCCTAACACAGCCTTGGGCACATAAGTGGTGTTATACAAACTGTGATGTTCTCAGCACAGTGTAAAGAAGTTGTACCTTGGAGGCACAGTTCTTACCTTCCTTCCTGTCCCACAGAGCAGCCATGGCTGGCACAGTCAGTCTGTCTGACCCCACTGGCCTCTTCCTCCGTGTGCTGCCTCTTGACAGGGATAAGGCCAAGGCTCTTCCATTTCTGTGCTCCAAGGCAAATGAACCAATTTCCTGTTATTCTGCACATTCAAAAAAGAAAAAGGCAAATTAACACAATATAAGGATAGAAAAGCAAGGAAAAGAAAGTTTGCTAAGTGATCTTAAGCAAGCTAGTGGTGTGCTACACTGTCCACCCTCGTCTCTGCAGCACCACCAGCAGCAGGTACCCCCTCTGATGTGGTTCACCTTGAAGGATGCTGCAGGAAGCTTTCATCCTAGAGAAATACCATGCAGATGGATTTGAGTCAAGATTTTTAGCATTTGAAATGAGCAAGGGAAGGTGATTTCTATTCCTGACTCTGGCACTGACCCACTGTCTGACTACTCAGCTCATTTTCTGTGGTCCCAAACTATCAATCCAGAAGTTCTGCCCACTGACTGTCAGGGCAGGATCAGCTCTTGGTAGGGAGCAGTTACTGCAATCACACTGAAATGTTTTTAATAGTAGAAAAACCAAGGTATGAGACATATAGCATTGCATTATGTGTTAAATACAGCTTTAATAGAAATGTTTTGTTGCAATTTGCCTTGCTTGACTTTTCTTTCACATACAATAAGAAATTGAAATAATTCACTAGAATCAAAGTGATGATTACAACATAACTTTAAACCCTGATTATATTTTCCTTTGTGGACAGTGTGTGTGAGGAAGGAAACATACAAATCACACACTAACTGGTTAACACATTTGAGGCACTCGATACTAAATCAGTGAGGCCTCATTTACTTCTAGTCTTAATTCCAGCATCCCCCCAAGGACCAAATAAATGTAAAACCTGGCTTTGCTGCAGTAATTTATTCTACTTGTTGAAAAGTCTTACAATGGGGTGTGTGATTCCAATAGTGAAAGAGAAAAGTAAGTATATACCTTAAGAATGAAAACTTCCTATGCTTCAGAAGCATTTCACTTTGACTTGTATTTGTTCTCTCATGAGTAACTCTTACAACTGAAGGTGGTGCTTAAATTGATATTAAATCATGGCCAGTCTTCGTGAACGAAGATTTGGGAAAGGTCTTTACCCTTCGAGCCTGCGCAGTGGATTTTTTAGGTGAGACACAGCGTGCGCTGAACTGAGCCCACCCTTTAATCCTGAGGTTCATCTGCCAGGGCCGAGCAAGCTTGGACAGTGGCAGTGAGGGTCTCAGGATATAGCTTTGTTTAGAGTGACCTTCTCTTAGATGGATGGCCTTACAGGGCTGATGAGCTCCATCTGCCCAGGGAAGTCCCCTGACCGGGAATCAAACCCGGGTCACAGCGGTGAGAGTGCCGCATCCTGACCACTAAACACCAGGGGGCCCCTGATGTTAAATATTACTTTATGTTTAACAAGGGCATCAAGTCAACACCATTTTAAAAACAAAGTAAGACTGGCAAAAGCCTATCAGTAGAGTGAATCAGGGGTTGGGAAATCCCAAGTGAAATCCAAGCATTAATAAAAGTCATTGCTGACTAAGAGAAATTCTAAAGAAAGGAGGCTACAGACAAGAAATCTGTTTCCAAAACACAGGATTTTTTGTATTTTTTCTGGTCAGCTGAATTTACTATTTGAAGAGATTTCCTATTTTAACTCCTCATCATGTTAATAACATTAACTAACAAATACAAGGAGATCTTGTTTTCAAAGCCATGCTCACTGGTTGATACTAGGATATTTTATTTTATATTAGTAATGATTTTACAGTAAACATTGGGACATTTATAGGAGAAACTAGCACAGCATTTGACAGGGCTTTGGGTCATTGCTCTGCACCTGCAACAGTGCTCTGACAAAGGACAGGATACTGTGTGATGGAAATTAAAGCCTCAAAACACAGAACCCATATGTGTTACCACAGGAAAAAAATGGTACCAAGCTGAGGGTGTTTTGTATGAGGTCATAATTTTTGTTTACTGTATCTGTTAAATTATTTAGGAAACCCCTACTTAGTTTATTTTTTAAAACAAAATATTCCATGCCTTGATGTAATTTTTTTTCTTTGTGCAAAAGAACCTGTATTCAAAGCTAGAATTTAAGCACAGGCAGTGTTAAATATGAGTGTGTGGATTTGGGGATTTTGTTTGCTTGAGTTTTTAAAAGAAAAACTTTCAACATTTTTGAATAGGCAACTTTGTAGAAACCAGTAGTGACCAGGAGCAATAGTCTGAGCAGACAGCGTTGCTTGTTTTTCAACAGGACTTTTTCATAACCTGAATGTGGTTCTTATAACTACTTACCTCATAAAATCAGATCTGGTAGTCCTCAAGATTTCAGCTCTCTGTGACAGACAGCAGAGAGCATACAAAACCTACCTAACTGCATTTCTGCTATTTTTTTTTGTAGGTAGCATTCCTGTTCGTGTATTAGACACAGACAGCAGTCCCAGAGACACACTGCTTTCCCTGCCTGCCCTTTGCCTCAACTCAGGTGAATATAGTTTTCCTCCTTCCCTGCATACATCACAGAAAGCCACCCAAATACTTCAAAGTAACACATATTCCTTGTTACCTCCAGTTAAAGATGGTAACATCAGGAAAAAACTTTTCCCCCAGAGGGTAGCTGGGCACTGAACAGGCTCCCCAGGGCAGTAGTCATGGCCCCACGGCCGCCAGAGCTCCAGGAGTGTTGGGACAACACTCTCAGGGACATGGTGGGATTGTTGGGGTGTCTGTGCAGGGCCTGGAGTTGGACTTGATGATCCTGATGGGTCCCTTCTAGTTCAGCATATTCTATAATTCCATGTTCTTCATGATCAGTGAGCTGACTGCTTCACCCCATAACCAAAAATTAGCGCTGGTTATAACCCAACAGTTTACCTAGAATGAAATTAAGTTTTCATTAAACTGCAAGGTGAAGGTAACTAGCCAACTTCTGAGTGGTTCCTATTTTAACTGAGCAGATCTAATTTCAGGTTTCTTCGAAGTTCAATCCTTCATGTCCTCTCCACAGGAGTAAACCCTCATCCCTCATAAGGCCACTGTTCTCCTTCATAGCTCCTGTGCTAAGTGACCCCTCTGTCCCCATTGCCTGCTGCTGACGTAGTGAGCAGAGTTTAAAACCGAACACTACTTGCTGGTTCCCTTTTAGGCACCACCATGACACACACAAATAGACCCTGAGCCAGTTCTGAGACCTGATCCAGCTGAGACTGAGTATTACCAAAAGCTGTTTTAGCTGCAGCCACACAGAGGAGCACCAGAGCCCCAGGAGCAGGCTGGGAGAGCAGGGCAGGACAACAACAGCCTGGATTTAGATCGGCTTAACTCATAACAGGATTAAATCCCGGCATCAAAAGACACAAACTGGTAGGATTTAAAAGAATATGACACTTACTGTGTGCAATTCTGAGAATGACTTTACCATGCCCCCTTTTTTTTTCTGTGTGAAGGGGCCTCTCAGCTCTCTGTCACTTCTTTATCAGGGCTTGGGAATCAGTGCCTTATGGAAAAGTGTGTCAGTGCCCATCAGGTAAATCAGTGAGCCCTGCCTAATTCTAGTGCAGGGCACCATTCCTCCATCTTACTCTTCATGTGCAGTCATACCAAAGCCTGGGATTGTGGGCTAGAGCCTGACCCTTTCCTCTCCATCCTTTACTCAATACAGTGCCACCTTTTTAACTAATAAACTTGGCTCTCCACGTGCTCCAGCTCTGTCCAGATAACCTCACTGACAGACATGCTGAGGAAACATCTCCCCAGTTCCTATTTCTTTGATGTAGTACCTGGGTGACAGAAGATCCTCTGAGCTGTCTGGATCAATCAAGACAGAAATATCAAAAAACTCTAGAGAACTTTGTCCAAAGAAGTCAAGTGAAGAAATGTAGCTGTAATGTAAACACACCCACATGAGGGAGCAGCTGTGAGAGGCTGAGGATCACAGTTCGGAACTTTGTGCCTAAATATAAATTCAGTTCTGATCTGGATCTGGCCGGAGCACTTTAGCTGATACATCTGTGTTCAAGTAGTAAGTGTTAGAATATGTGGGATTCAACACAAGTTCACAAAATTTCAGCTCAGACTCAGGTCTTGCTGAAACATCACTGACTGCGCATACTGAGAAACAAGACCCACAGAGTATGGTAGATGTAATGAGAATTAAGTGTGGGCAGCTACAACCAAAGACCAGTGAAGTTCCAAACACTGACCACAGTCATTCACGAGAAAATACTCAAACCATGAAGCAATGTACACATGCAGTTACAAGCAGTTTTTCACTGAATAATTACTTCAGATTTTCATTAGATACTCATCTTTTTCCTTTACATATATAAAACTTGGACAAATGACTGTAGAATAAAATGAGTTCTCTGTAAAAAGAGCACTTTTGAGGGCTGAATTTGCATTTGCCTTTTCTGAGGTTGCCACTAAAACTTTTTGATCCTCCTGAACCTTGGCTTACCCAACTCTTCTGTGAACAGAGTTAATGGAAGGAACAGCAACACCCCTCCTCTGGTGATCTCTCCACACTGAAAATTCATGAGCAGGCCAGTTACACAGCATCCCTCTTCCCCTCACAGGCACACTCAGCCCTCTCATTTGTGAAGTTAATTTAGTGAGGTTAAATGACACAGTATATCTGACTACATTTTCTCAGCTCCAGCTGGAGCCCAGTCAGGGTTCCCAGGTAGGGAAAGGAATACTCTCCCTGCCTTGCTTTCATACCTGCTACAAAAAGAATTGCATTATCCTTCCCCCAGCCTCAATTACCAGGCTGTGGAAAGAACTCCAATTAAGTGGTTAGCCATAATGGCATGGCAGCCCTTCAGGAAACTGCCTATCTAAATAGAGATGTACGGAAGGCAGTTTTCTCTCTAATAGTGATGCATTTTCAATTTATGCAATACAAAGTGCATTGGTCTGCAGTGTCCCTGGCTACTGATGATTAATAGCCCATACACTGCAAGGGGCTACAAAGAAAAGTGCCAAGGGAAGCAGATGCAGTGGGTTTTATATTATCATGACTGCAACAAACTCATTCAGTGGTGTCAGCTCTGACTGCAGGATTCTGATTATGAAATATGATGCGTGTTGAATTTAATGGCT